AAGTCCCGGAGAACGTAATACTTGTTTCAATGGACGTTCAGCTTTTATACAAATATACCACAAGAGGAGGGAATAGACACTGTATGCAGAGCATGCGAAGTATTCTACAGAAACGGAACTCCTATCCCTACACAACTACTAAAACAAGCGCTTAGGCTAATCAGTCTCCAAGAAAATTCTTTCCAGTTTAATGGAAAGCACTACCTTCAAACACATGGTACGGCCATGGGCACGAAAATGGCAGTCGCCTTTTCTAATATTTTCATGAACAAGGTAGAGACAGAAATCCTTGACAAAAGCCTTTCAAAACCGCTTGTTTGGAAACGTTACATAGACGACATCTTCTCGTCGGTGGAGTACAAACAAAGCAACAATAGAACGTTTCATTGAAAAAGCAAACAATCATCACCCAACAATAAAATTTACGGCTGAAATTTCCGATAAGGAAACAACATTCCTGGACACCTACATCTATGCAAAGGCGAACGATTCGAAAAGGATGGAATCCTTATGTGCGTACTCATTTTAACTGACAAACTGAGACATTTTAGTATACACTATAGTTACTGTCACCCACAAGGAGTTAAGAAAGGCTTCGTAAATGGAGAGGCCCTTAGACTTCTCAGAACAAACTCCTCTCAAACAATATTCGAGGAGAAAATTGCAAATTTCAAAGCGCATTTGCTAAAGATAGGCTACCCAGAGGACCTCATTAACACAACCTTCTCAGAGGTGAATTTCAAAAACAGGAAAGTAGCTCTTCAACAGAAACCGAAGACGAGCCAACGAATCTTGCCTTTTGTTACACAATACCAACCATTAGTGCCAAACCTAAAGAAAATTATCATGAGACACTAGCATTTAATAGAAACACAACCATTACTGAGCGAATTATACAAAAATCCGCCGCTCATATCTTACAAAAGAGGGCGATCGCTCAAAGACACTCGTGAGGGCCAAACTTTGCATAAGCTATTCTAAACACGCGCTGGGGAGTCGTGTAGGCCTGTCAACCCCCTTTTTTACTGTAATGACATGTTTAATGTTTTTTTTTTTTCCAACCGATTTTCTTTTCTACCCGCATTTTTCCATCCGCAATTTTTCATCCGCATTTTTCTATCCGCATCCGCCATCGATCCGCATCTATCCGCTCCGCGTTGTACAGAGACCCCTTTCGAATGTCAGCAGAAGCGATCAGGTTGCAAGTTCTCCTCAAAATTTTAAACATTATCCTGCTAAATGCGGACGGTCATGAGAATGCGCAAAATTATTAGCGAATGCCGGAAGATGTTTAAATCAAATACCAAATTCTAGCTCCTGACTGATTTTCAAGGAAATGAGGAGATAGTAGAATGGAGAATCATGCAACGGATCAGATCTCGCAAGATAAAGGATTAAAACTGTTTAAAATGTGATAGTCATCTGATCGACTAGAAATATTGGTAACCGGGCAGAAAAATCAAAACTGTCATCGGTCAGACAAAACATTTATGAAATTAGATAACGCTTCCAGCTCTCACTTTTTATGAAGAGCTTCATTCAAAAATAATTTTCTGATTTCATGCTCCAGGGCTACTCGACGGAAAGCTGAAGAACGTTTTTAAAACAATTTTAACTGAGAGGTATGTTTACCATAGAGCTTTTTGTATATATCCGTAATTATATGGGCCTCAACCAGTACATCCTATACGTGATTGCCTGTCTATTAGCACTAGTCATACTGTTCAGTTTTTCTTTTATTTTCGAGATTTTTCTTAATTCACCAAAGAACATGCTTTCATTTCTCGCTGTACACTCTTTTCTGTAACAATGAACTTGTTTAGCATCATTTGGAATAGATTTGATCGGGCGAAACTGAAGATTCTTGGCTACATTGTACATAATAAAAAGAAATAGTTAATCATTACTGACGCCATTAAACTTCTTACGCAATCATGATTATTAATCGTTTGAAATGATCAACTATCGTGAAAACTTTCTTTATTTCTTTTTTTATCAGAATTTGGTTTGTTAGAAATAATGCCCCCTCTGCCAGGAAATGAATTGAATTTATCAAACCTCTTGAGGGTAAAATAGAGTACGTACATAAATTTATGTTATTCAAAAATTAAAACTGAAACTTTGCATGCATGTATATCGTGAACGTATTCGCCCAATTTCAGCCTCAATATTAATGGAAAATATTCCTATATCAAAAAAGAGCGCATTGACACCAGTTTGAAGTTATTCGTGCTTGCATGAATTTCGCCAAACCAGCCTGATGCACGAATTACATCACAAGAGTGGACACTGACCCTATCTCGCCTCGACATTATCATTATTTTCATGGGACGTGAATGGCAAGCGTTTAATTTTGTGGCGTGGCAGAACCCCGACTTTCACCTAAGTTATTGTAATATCAGCTATCAGGTAGGAAGTTTTTTCCCTGAGATATTGAAAAATTGAATCAAGATTCATAGAGAATAAGCTGAAATTTTAAGATGTCGAGTTTGGCACCGTTTTTCCTTCTCGCAACTAGAGGAGGATCGAGGGAACTGCTCGTGATCAAGGAACTCAGTGTTTGTAAGAGGATCCCATATTCTCGATCAGCGGCTTGCCATCAAGTCGAAATTTATGCAGTTGTAACATGCGAAATAATCTTGTGCATGGTTAACGCCGATTGCTTTAAAATTTTCGAATGGCTTTGGGAGTCTGGGAACGTACATGTGCTTGCAAGAAGCATTAGCACGTGCTTGCTTGCCTCAAGTGCTCATACTTGTTTTGAGCGTCAAATGAGTCATTGTTAGACTTTAGCATCCTTTGACAAGAAATTTTAGCCGTGATCTTTTTCTGAAAATTCCATTTTTTTTCGTTTTCTAATTTTGTTTGTTTGTTTTGGTGTCATTTCTTTTCAACTTCCGTTTCCAAATTCCTAAGAGTATTTTGGTCTTCTTTTCCTTAGAACTGTTACCAAGGTTAACTTTCTTTTGCAAATCAGGGCTGAAAGGAAATGAATCCTTTGAATCAGTGGTTTAGGTGTGAAATATAAAAAGGAGCAATCCATGACGTATTTCCTCCAATTTTACGTCAGTTTCGCAAATGCATCAGATCATTGTCCTTCATATTGAAGCAACAGTCTCATAATATGGTCTTTTATTTTGCCCAAATAAAGTAGTTTCTTTTGTCTAATTTGAGAATATCAGGAATTTCATGTAATATCTGTGTGTTACAGAAGTTAATGGGCAGGAAATTAGGTTAATTAACGAGAAGCAAAGTCAAACAAACAGCTTCGGAACAAACATGAGGCTTCGGGTGCGGCAAAGAACAAATTTTCACCTAATTGCCTGGTAATCCCTTTTAAGGTTGCGATGAAAATTGTACGTCAATTTTGTCAACATCTCCGAAAAATTGAGTACCACTTAGAGCAAAAGAATTATGTTTTTAAAGAGCGAAATCCAATTTAAATCAGTTTTTTGACAAGTTTACCCCCTCGATTAGTCTAGTCTAATCGAAGAGAGCGAGGAATGACCTGGAACAGATCATCAGTGGTCGGCGTCCGTGAAAATATTCCAAATAATTGTGGGTGTTATTTGCGAATGATTTATTAAAGCTTAAGAATTAAAAGTAAATAACCTGACTTATCAAGCGGTGAGTCACTTCAGTTCTTCATTTTGTCGCCTGTGTATATGTGACCTGAGTGGGATTATAATTGCTGTTACGGCCTTTTGGCGCAGATAATGAATTGGAGGGCCTCCAACAGCCGTCGCACAGAGAGACTTGTGGGTTGAAGTGACACTAAATTCATTGATATCTTTACCTGATGAAACAAGATCGTTATCAATATCCCTTAAAACACTGTTATTTGTTGACGTGCTATATGACATAAAAAACGCGCGGAGACCGGGAACAGGCCTGATTGATTGTTCCACGCGACAAATTCAAAAGGTGAATTGTTCGAGTAGAATTTTTGAGGCTTTTTAGTGTTTACAGTATGATTAAATCTCATTTGACTCACAAAAGCAACCCGTTCGGTTATGGTTAGTGATCACGTAGAGTTATGTTATGAGGGCGGAAGAGGGTCTTTTGTTCTCCGTCCGTAAATCGTGTGGTGAACGGCGTGTCTTGATAGCACACCGACAGATGGCAAGAAGATATATTTTCACTACATTTTATGCATGTATCTTCGCAGGAGAATTGAGAAGAGTTGAGCCGTAGAGTTTGGATTTTGTAGAAGTATTGACCCGTACCAGACATCAAGTGAGTAGCCTTGAACTGCCACCCCCGCTAGCATGACTGTAGCCTGATCCAACGGGTTTGAATGAAAACTGGATTACCGAAGTAAGAAGTGTACTCGATTTAAAACGTTGAAGGGTTATCAGCCACGAGGAATGTGGTCAGCTGGATTTTAGTGTAATGCGCTGTGTTTGGAAAAGAAACAGCTGCCATATTGCTGTTAGTCAAACTTTTTTGGATCAGACATGAATTATCTGTCATGTCATTCAAGTGCGTACGTGACGCAATAGGCTTATGAATATAGCGAAGCTCTTTGCTGTGTAACTGCCGATACAATTTTCGAAAGCGAATTTTACACGAAGGTAAAACAAAGAGAAGGCCAAATTGAATTATGAGCCTTTAGCTTTGTTCTTGTTCTTGAAAAGTTTAGCCACGACGTCGAACTAAGAACTCCTCGGCAACTAATCTTAGGGAAAGTGGTAACTCACACGGGAAGAGGTAAGCCTACTGAAAGTTTTTTACAATAAAATCACCACTTGCGGTTTATTATGGTATCCACTTTATTTCGGAAAACCTGTAATTATTACTTCGGTGTGGGAAATAATGGATTCTATTGATAAATATTCAGGCGCATAGGCCCCAGAAAAAAACTGAAGGTACGAAGCTCCAGAAGCGATTTTTATTTTTATTTCATGATTGTGTGGGTTCATTTTCGAAGTGTCATGGAAGATGTCAAGTTGAAATTGAATTTTTATGATCTATTGCGTAGTTTCATCGCTTAATCGTGAACAATGCATGATGTCACCGTTCATTTCACCCACTGAATGGGCGGCAAAAAGGTCTAAATGCAAATGATATAGCACTCGTGTGTTAACTTTTCCCACCAATGGAACATGGCGTTTACTGAAGTGTCTCACTTGTTAACATACCAAAATGCATACGAAGAACTAATGAGCTTCTAGTCGAAAAACGAGACGAATCGTCTACCATCTCGAGTATTGAATATTCTATCCAACCTTAGCAAGTTTTAATCGCCTGGAGGACTGTATTCATCGATGTTATCTCGGTATATCCAAGAAGTCTTCATTTCGCTTCATTTTGGCCAAACACTTTGCAAGTGTGTCGTTGAGAATTCATTGACGTAACACAGCGCGTGAAAAGTCGAAGTGCTCGATTGCTTTGATTAAGGATTGCATTTACAGTGTCGTGGTGAGTTTTAAATTTTACTCTGAACCATAGCGATTTATTTTGTCCGTATATGGATTCCGTTTGTGTCGATCGATTGAAGTAATCATTCCTTATTGCTTAGATACATTCCTTTATATGATTAACGGCCGATGCGTCCTAACAATCTTGACAGTTTCGGGGCTTATTTCAACAAGAAGGCGAAACTTTTAACATAATACATGATAATCCGGGAGTCAAGAAAGCTTTGTAGTTAAAATGACTTCGAGGTATTAGATTTCAATGAAATAGTATCTTTTGTTCAAAGTTTTAGCGACAGTTACTGCGTCGTACGTAAGGTTTCCTTTAGGTCAACAGTGTTTTGCGTGGAAACGGCCCAGTTGTATCAGTAACGTCAAACTTAACGCGGAATTATTTTATCTACAAACAATGTGGTTTGTCTTCTGAAACCTGAGTTCGATATCGCACCGTGCATCAAACCTTGTAAGGTTCACTACAATGACCTACTCATGTATCCAATGTAGCCGTTGTGTTGGTTCTCATACCTATATTGTCTGATCAATTTACAGCCCAACTAAAAGAAATGAAGCAACGGAACGAGCTGTATGTGCTATTTCTGTGTTGTTCTGCAATATTATCTGGTCGGACTGTGGTGGCGTCCAACGGAGAACCGCATTCAAGAACACAGTTCGAAGGTAGGTTCCCCAACTCGTGCACACACGACCTGTTCACGTACGAACTGACATTACACTTGTGAATTATCGAATTGAAATCAAGCTAGCGCAAGATTCTGTCTTCGTGTATGGAGACATCTCCGACCGTTTTCATCTATTTTGGTGTTATATTGTTAGTGTTTTCACTGATGATTGAAGAAGGCCGCTTAAGAGGGTTGTTTTGGAAACTTCATAGGCTCTTGAACAGTGTATTTCAGTAATAAACCATTCCAACTGGAGGGGATCTAAAAATTAACTCAAAGTTATTCTAAATCAGTTTGATGATATTGAAATTCCGCGACGTAAAACAAGTCTTTGCTCGGTCTTTGCATTACTACAAAATTAATTCGCACAAAAATCAATATGGCGTTTCAAAACTGAGCAACGTTAATTATGTTTTGGTTAATAAATATATTATGCGTCGGGAAGTAGGTGAATATAAAACTTAGCTGATAAAGTTTACCAATAGCTATCAGATATTGCAACCCATTACTGTTCGAAACAGCTGCACGAAAGGGAAAAAGACGGCATGCCCGTACATCTTTTGAAAGGATCAGTGCTATTTTCTTTAAAAATCATTTGAGAATTTAAAACATCATGTAGTATACCATTGATTAAAAGCAGTAGAGGCAAATGCAAATGTATTGTATGCCTTGTGAGTGGCGGTAAGACATCTTTTGTTTCGAGTTGAATGAAAAGTTTGAGAACTTCAACTTATGCTATGCAATTTAAGATGGAATCAGGCCGTGAATGCTTTCGTTGAGTGCGCGATTTTTCCCCCGTGAAGGTGCAACGCTGTTGTTGTTGCACTGGAGTGAAATTTTAGACGAAGAAGCCTCGGAGCTTGTAGTCTGTTTTCAATTAGCTTTTCATCGGCATTTCATTAGCAAAGGTTGTAAAGTAAACAAAGGAGGCTAAACAAAAATTACGTTGCAACCAACGCGGACGGCTTTCCATATTTTATGAGTTCGTTTACTTGATCAGAATTTTTCTCTGCTTTGATAGGAATGAAATTTAGCAACAATCAATATGTAATGAGCAATTGCATGTTTCAATGCACTTGTTTTATTGGATAGGTTAAAATAACACAGTTTAACGCCATGCGTTGTGTTTCGATGTTGATAAAACAGACTGTGTACATGTGTATTTTTAGATGAGAAGGGTCAGTTTTCTGATGAAACTGCGTGCATTCCCATGGAACGGGGAACATGAATAACTAGAGGTTGGGGTTATTCATAGGCGAGCCATTTCATAACATACTGTGTCTCCTTCCATATCCTAAAGAATAATAGAAGAGGTACTCACAGCAAGAAAATCTGGGAACTTATTAGCAAACTTTTTTTTTTGACAAATTCCAACAAACATGTTTTGAAATAACAACCATCGTACCAATAGTTCTGTACTTTGAACTGTGCTTTAAAATTGGAAACAACTGAAGTGTTGTTTACTACTTCAGCCTTGCACCAATCTGGTGCCTTTATTTTGTGTAATTGCATGGTTTGTACTTAATGGTTGGTTTTGGTTATTGACTTGTGCACAATGAAGGCTTTGTTTGATATTGGGTAAGGAGTGTTTGTTGCATATAAAAGTTTGCCATGACCCTCTCAACGGTCGAATTGTAACAGTAAAACCTCGACAAACAGCTATTATGAACAAGCTCTTTTCTAGAACATAGAATTTGCTTGTCATTGAAATCATGTTGAATAAAAACAGGAGATATGGTCAAATTTGTCTGTTAAGCTGCAGGCAAAATAAAGAACCACAAAGGCCAAGGTATATTGGGAGTTCAAACTACCTCTCTGGTTGTTGATTAAAGAGCCTCTTGAGACGATACACAAGAATATAATAACTTAAGGTTGATTCAGTGTGTTGAATATCATTGAATGAAGTTTTTTTCCAATCTTTATGTAGAATGACTAGGACGACTAAAACATGATTAAGGGATCAATAAAGGACATGTTTTTTTTTTTTTTTTTTTTTTTTTTTACAAAATTGAATTTCTTTGTTGTATTGGTCTTGGATTTTGGCAGACAATAAGCTTGCCACTTACCAATTTGGTGCATGGCTGTCAAATATTGATAAATGTTCTGCTAAATAAATAGGCTTCTTCCAGATATAATGAGAATAATTTCCACTCATTCTGATTTCATGGTCTAGTAATTGAAAAAATTGCTTTTTACCTCCAGGCAAAACTAATCAATGTTTATCTGATTATATTCTTTTACTCTGACTCGCCTTTAGATATACTTGCATAGGTTCTAGCTATTTGATTAAATGAAAATTTCCTGGGAAATGTCTTGATTTAAGAGACCACAGTGTTTGACTTTTTGAAATAAAGAATTTGGACTCACCAATAGCTGTGTCCTTGTGGAAGGGGGTGCAGGCACTCATAAACATATATAAATGTCAGGGAAGATTGGAGAAATTTGAAATGTCAAGTATTTTTAATGCACCAGACTGTCATTTTATTGACATTTGAAAATGAAATGTGTATTTTTCCTATAAGAGGTACTGTTCCTGTGTTACAACAGTCAATCCTTTTTTGAGTCATTAAGCATGAGACCCATGCATCTGTTTCCCTGGCACAGGGTCTGGTAAATTATGCAATAATATGAACCTTAATGATTTTAGTCTGTAGGGGTGTCCATGATACACATCACTGCATGGCTACTTAATTATTTAAATCAAATGTTTTGAGTCTTTTCTCATGCTAGTTCTGTCTATGTTATTATGAAAGATTGCCAAAAGGAACTTTCTTCTGAAATGTGGGAAATAATAAGACAAAATTGGAGTTTGTTGAATTCTTTCTCCCTCAGAAGTGATGAAAAAGAAATTTTTCCCAATGATATTAACAGATTTTCATGCAAAGGGGTAACAAAGAAGTAGGAAAAATATAAATTTGGGAGCAGTGTTTGGTTGAACATGAATTTCTTAGAGTTAGTATAAGAAGAAATGGGTAACAGACAGCAAAGAGAATTAATCTTCAGATCAGTTGGTCAGGGATATTTAGGTTTCGAAACTGCGATTAAATTTACTGAATATAAGAGTATAGCAACCCCATATCTCCCGAACATTTTCAAATTTCAAGTAGAAACATCCAGGCTGTAAATGTGGAAACAGGGTTGAATACAGTAAAGATATCCATTCACTAACATTTTGTACTTTGTTATGAAATCTCATTCCAGTATGGATTAGGAGTACACACTCCTTTGCGAAACATATATAGATGTATACCTGTGTCTAAGTGGTTTGCCAGATGGCCAAGAGGCCATGCAAATGTATCACTAACTGTAAAAGCTGATTATCACCAGGTGGCTCTTATTAAATATCATTTTAATGCATCCTGATTCCTTGATACTGAACTGGTATTTTACTCATTCATAAGAGGAAAAGACCTGAAGTATGTTTCAATGAACTCCCTCTTAATTTAAGAAGAAACTTTGATACTTTGTTCAACAAAAGGGAAACACATTTCAAAAGTCTTGAAGCTATAATGTTTGATAATTTGTTATCCTGTATTGCAAAGGTAATTAGGGCTAAATTTAGGAATTCAGTTACATCGAATTGACAGATTGGCGTTATTATATATCAGGAAAATTAGTACAAAGATATGTTCACGCTAACAAGCACTAAAATGTGTTCCTCATTTGGTTTTGATTCTTTCTATATACCAGACAAATTTTGTGATTTGTAAACTAACAACGATCACTGTTGTCTTAACATTTAACACATTCTACAAATTAGGACTCTTTTGTTTGGGTGAAGTTATTTTAAGGGAAATACAATTAAAGTAATCTATTAACTATATTTCTTAATTAGAATTGTTTGTGCCACCAGTGAAATATGAATCATTTAATTTTTCTTTTTTTCTTTCATGTTAAATGAAATAGGACAGGAGCTAATTGTATTTGTATTAGTACCATTCTTCATCTTAAAGCCTTGGCAGATTATCATAGTGATAAGACAAGACTCCTTAGTCCTCCTCTTTTAGCCAACAGCATTGAACTGGAACAGTCGCATTTTTCAGTCTGTGGCAAAAGTACTTAGTGACAAGAAATCCATTAATGCATGCCTAACAGGAGTCAAATCTATGAGATTGATACAAGTTACTTTTCATGTAATTTCTCAATGCCATCATCGTAAAAATAGCTATGGAATGTTGAAATTGGCAGAAATTTATCTCCAGTATGTGAAGTCCCCCTCCTTACCAGTTTTGGTGATGAATGAATTATTGATGAAAGAAGGAATGTCGTCCTGGCCCCTTAATCAACAAGCTTTTCTTAAATCTTGACTCTTAATATATGAAGTAGGATTAAACATAAATTATCAGATCTCATTTTTCCTAGAATTTAAAACCATTAAAAGCTGATAACCAATTTCCTAGTTACGGCTTAAAAGTTTGATTATAGCAGATACCCTCCCTTAGGTAATAGTTTATCTAAAGTACATAAATTATTTCTGGTGTGAATTTTGATTTAAAACGGATATTCTGAGTTTGTGTACATAGTTCTAAAAATAATGAGGCCATTGTTGACAGCTTATAGTACAGTATATATTAAACAGAATTTTTCACCTAATTTACTTGGCATTTTCCACACATGACTCAGCCATTAAAAAAATAAATTTATCTCACCATTTCAAGGTATAATCAGGATTTTCGTCAACCAATGCAGTAGAAGAGTGTAGATTTACAGGATAATACTCTTTACATCTGAATACCAGACAGTGTCAGCATGCATGCAATTGCATTTTTTCCCAGAGCATACTGCAACCTCTCAAGTCCAATGAAATACCTGTATGTTCTAGTAAAAAGGTCATGAGAATAGACAAGATCAACAGCTGGCAGTTTTTGTACTGAAATGGCACTATTTCACCCTTTCGCTCCCAAGATCTTAATATCAATAATAATAATAATAATAATAATAATAACTTTCATTTATATAGTGCTCATATCCTGAGCTCAGGGCACTTTACAACACTGTGCAGGGGACTTTACCAGACTGCTAAGCAGTTTACAATCAAATAAAGGCGAATCTAACAGATGCCCCCTTCCCCCAATTCTCAGTAAACAGGCCAGACCACATCACAGTAATCTCATGAGTGGGTTCTTTAACGTCTCCTGCCCAACCAAATTAACTAATTAATAGATGCAGGAAACAGGACCTCCAGTTAATTTATCCTTATCCGAGAAAACTGGAATTTCTATCCATTTCTTGATGTTATAGAAAGGTAGCACATTTTCCTCAGTTATTTTAAGACCCTGAGTGTTGGTCCGGCCCTGGCTGGATACTGGTCTAGATACTGGTCTCGATCACAATTCTCATGACCGTCTGCTGTACAATTTTTATGATCCTAATACTGAGAAGTTAGTGTTGAATCAAGCACTATACCAGAAATTAAAAGTTTTTCCTTCCCATTTCCTTTTGGGAGTAGGAGGGTGGAAGCTTTTTTGACTAACTTGAGAGAAAATGTATGTTTGACCCATAGCAACCAAAACATCTACTGACCAGTCACATCTTGGAAGTTAAAGGGTGAAGATGCAAAACACTGAACTCATTATGATTGCTTGCAATCTTCTGTATAGCAAGGAACTAAAGTTATGTCAATTTATTCTGTTATTTTCCTAGAAGTCAAGTTTCACCTGGAGACACTAAAAACAGGAGGAATAAAAAGTGGCAACTACTCAGTGCTGTCAGTTGACAGCGAGAATGATCACCTCCTTGTAGGAGCAAAGTGAGTTATTAAGCTGTGAATTCTTTTCAATGCCACAATTTGCTTACCATGTGGGATTTATTTTCTTCTGAATAGTCCATTTTACTGTTGGGTGCTTGGTTGCCAAGCATTCGAACAGGAGTGAGGGGAGGAGTTGACCTTGTAGAGATAGAAATCATACTAACTCGATACTGGTCTCCATCGCAATGAAGTCACCTTCAGCCACACTCCAAACCAAAGGCTTTTGCAGCTTAGTACATAACTGTAGAATGGCCTATCAATTTTTAGTAGTTTATTTTTAAACATGCAACATCATGCAAAGAAGGGTATATTTATTTAATATCATGTTTTGCAGAGACAATGCATTCCTTGTGGAATTGGAAAACATGGATCGTTTTAGAGTAAGTTCAAATTAATTTGTTGGTATATTTGAATAGGGATTGTTCCTACTTTATTTATTTATTTATTTATTTTTTTAAATTTGCTTTGTTTTCAAGGAGTTATTCTGACATGATCTGTTTGTCTCTTATAGTCTTGGAATTTGAGCAGCTCAAGCCATGCTATGGCATGTGATAGAAGACAGGTGAATTTGACAACTGTTAATTATATTCTCAGCTTCAACCGATCAATTTTTCTACAATGCATACACATTTTGTGAGCTTCACAATGAGTTTGCCTTTAAGTTAACTCTACCTCTTTTCCATTAAGATTTGATGCAAATTACAATTGCAAAGAGGGTGAATCTTAGAATTCTGAAAGACTGAGTAGAAGAAGGAATAGAAAGGAGGATGTCTTGCAGTGAAAGCACAAAATGTAGGCAGTGCCTGCCTCCTCCTCCATACTCCTCAAAACACTTACAAGTACAACATTCCAAAACTCAAAATGTGCTTTGGTCTGAAATTTCTTTGTGAAACCTCCCTAAAGAGACCATTATGGGAAATCTTCATTGTATGAGAGATAGACGACAAGCTTTCATTTGTGTTTCATCGGAGTCTTTTTCTTTCCCCACCCATCCACTGCCCCACCCCTTCCCTGTAATTGCCCACCCCTCCCCAACCCCAAGCTAATTAGTCAGTGTTGTACAACCATCTCAGATTGTTTTGTCTGATGAATGATTACTTTCAAGTCTTGTCTATTACATCTTGATTGCAGAACCCCTCCTGCTCTGAGTATGTAAAGTTAATGCTGTTATTTGAGGAGAGGATCTTTATCTGTCTGACAAGAGGTTGCAGCTGGAGAAATGTAATTAATTTTTTTGCCATCTGATTGAATGCAGATATAAAAACAAACTTCAGAGAGTTTTTGTGTGCAAAAGGTTCTCAGTTTCCTGGAAAGCATGAAATCAATGCCAATCAAGACTGCTGTAGTGATGCTTCGAATTGACCTAAAAAAGTTGAATTGGAGGTCTTAACCCATTAATGGCCGCAGCTTTTGGGGAAAACTGTGTTTTGAAGCTAGTCGGGCAGATTTCGGGTCACTGTTGTGGTTTTAAAAGCTCAAACTTACCAAAAACCACTTGACAGCTCGTGCACTCGACGGCCTTTCGATCCAAATGCAAAATGGC